CGAGAACGTAAGTGCGTGCGTGCGAGCGTGCGTTCGCGAGGATCATTACCGAGTCGCGGCGAAATCTGCACTACGGAATTCGCCGCGATAGTCGCCTGCGCGATTTTCGCTCCTTCATGGACTCGGATAGCTTTTTCCGTTTCGGAGTGACCTTCGACACCGTCGCCGATCAGGAGGTATACACGGCAAGGGAGAAAGAAAGAGAAGGCGCATAGTTATCTTAAATAATCAGCAAGGGGAAAATCTTCTTCCGCGACGAGAGTTCCGCAGGATCTCACGCGGAACAGCTCTCCCGACAGGCGCGTGCTTCCGCTGCGTTTCACAAACATTGCCGTCGAGCAGGATCGTCATGCGAGAAGGCACAATCGTCGATTTGTTTTTCGCCGAAAATTTCAGCCTCGGGCTTTCTGTTTGGGCGGCGGCGGCGGCGACGGCGGCAGCGGCGGTGGCGGTGGCGGCGGCGGCGGCGGCGGCGGCGGCGGTGGAAGAGTGGCAGGAGGCAGGGTGCCTTGTTTTTACAAGCGAACCGGTTTGTACGCGACACACAGGGTGGGCGCACGATCATTATTGCCAGTCCTTTGTGCGAGTTCTCGTACGTCCGGGTATGTTCCTTCCCCGTCGGGGATGTAAGCTGTGCGCGGATCTTCGATACGACCCTGCGATACGCGCCTTTTCGAGGACATTGACCTCGGCCTCCGCGTCTGTCTGGCTAGTTTATCTGTTTTCCCTGGCGCTCAAACGTCCTCGCTGCATCGAATATCGATGGAGCACATGCCGCGGATGCAAATATGCGAAATACTTTCGGCAGCGGCATTTCCGGCGCATTCTGACACGAGGTCCTTCTCCCTGTCAGTTCACTCCTGTCAAGTGTACACATCGCGATCTAATATCCGTGATATTATCATCGTCGTCGTCGTCGTCGTCGTCGTCGTCGTCGTCGTGATCGTCGTCGTCGTGGATTCCGAGCTTTTAAAATAATCGCAATCGGAATATCGCAGTATCGCTGCGCTCGACTAACCCGTCGTTGAGCACCGACTGATCAATCGGTCGGACGCTAAATCAGGATGTGCAGTGCGATACCGATTTAACGACATGCATTTATCGTAATCAACGGTCGCAGCTTCTTCCAGTCGATGTGTCTCCGTTGGCTATTAACCGTTGGCGGATTGATACTGTTCTCGCCGCAATTTCCGAATCACCGTTGTAATTTCTCGATTAAGTTGACCCAGTAACACGAATACATTCTATGCCCGTACTTTACGTCCCTTTCTACTCCGAGTCACTACGTGTGAATTAATTATCATATATAGGATTTTTCATTTGCGACGCTTTGAATTCGGTGGGTGCACACGTACGCGTTATGTAGGCCGGGGGGGAGAGAGAGAGAGAGAGAGAGAGAGAGAGAGAGAGAGAGGGAGGGAGGCCACGCGATTAAATTTCAACTTTCCATTTGTGCGTTTAACTAAACATTAAACTAAACGGAATAAAATAGCGGCAACCCGTTGTGCTAAACAAAACAAGCCAGCGGCCTGCGGACGTGACGCAAGGCTCATGAATCGAATATTCTGAAATACACACGCAGTGACCAATTTTTGCGCACTCAGAGCACGTCTGGCGCGGACGACTTTGCGAAGCGGCGAACTTTTAAGAAACGATCCGCTCACGAGCACGACGATGTCGCCCGTTTACACACAGTGCCCTCCAACGAGGTCACTGGCGTCACTCATCATCGCGATGCGTCACGTCGCATCGCGAAGTGACGCATCGCGTAGGAATAAATGACCTTCGACTTGTTCCTCTTCCTCTCGGCCTTTTCCTCATCGCGTCTTTTTCCACCTCGAGAGCGGCTCTGTGTGGCAGTTTCCGAGCCTACTCCAGCGGACACAGTCGCACACTCACCCGTGTAAGAAGCGGGGTCAAAGACATTACGAGCTCTGGAAGCCGCGTAATTATTGCACGCGACCGTCGTTACAGTTTCGCCGACACTAATCCCCACGTGACCCACTTGGATACGTACGAATATTAATTTCCTTTCTCATCCCGCCCGCTTGCTTTGTGGGTTAAACGAACGTCTGGCTCTGTGGGGGCGCGCGTCTCTCGACAAATCAATTCGTTCAGCCGCATCGATGATCCAGCGGATCGTTAGACCGAACGCGAGTACCGGCGAATCGATTTCGAAATATTCCTGGATCGCTCGACTCGGTCTGACGAACGGTAGTTTCATCGTTGGTAATTTTATTTCGGACAAACGATCTGGAAAATTAACAAGGAGGAGCAACTCAGAGTTGATTATAATGAGTAGTCAATATAAACGGTGCTTCACCGATACGGCGCATAGTATTCTTTCTCTTCGTACTTGAGAAACGTAAACCTCGTTATTTGTATACCAAAGTCCTACACATCTCTCTCTCTCTCTCTCTCTCTCTCTCTCTCTCTCTCTTCTTTCTCTCTCTTACTCTTAGCGAAGCGACAATAGGCAACGTCCGTCAAAGTGCTTTCAAGTGGCCGCTGCATTTTTATCGTTGTGTAGCCGTCGCTCCTCCGTATCCGCGAATTTTCGAGGGTCATCGAGCAGTCGCCGGTCGTTAATCCCGTCAGTAATTTATTCTCTTTTTCCAGAGATCTAATTATCCGTTTGACTGTGCGCGGGCAAAAGTGCCTAAATCAAATTAATTAGTCTCTTCAAACATTTAATTCGTTTCGACGAATGCAAATTGTCCGGCCGAAGCGAGCCGCTCCCTAAGCTGCACGCAAAACTCTTCTCATTACGCGACGACAGTGCGTCGTAAATAATAATTGCGATAAAATTATCTCGCATAAAATTTCGCGAGAAATCGCGGCTTCGGCGCGATTTCTGAAATTGTTCCGTCGAGCGAACTGCCGCGGTTTGTCGCTTCCGGTCACGTTGCCGAAATAAATTCCATCGCTCCCAAATTCGAGGTGCATCCTCTTCCCCGCGGTCATCTCGACGATCGAACGAACCGTCGCGACTGCTTTGTGGCAATTCCGGCCGGTCCGCGAAAATAAAAATTGCTCGATATTTTTCGCCGAGAGATACGACGAAAGCGGTGAGCGTACCAACTGCGTCCAAAGCGGTCCGTCACCGTTGTCCCACGTAATTTTGCTCGATCACGAAAATGTCGGTCACGCGCGGTCGCTGTTCATCGATTTTGCAAAATCCATCCGCGTCGCTTTCCTCCAAGGATTCTCTCCATACGGACTCCCGTTTTCCGACCGTGTCGGGAACTGTCATTCCTCCCGGCTCGAACGTGGATGCAGATTCCGTGAGGCGATCGTGAGAAACAAACGCGATCCTACGACGCAATACAACACGACCGAAGTAAGATCGTATGTGGAGACATTGTTACGGCGAATGCGAAAAAGTCGTGGGATTTTTGAGCGAGTAAGATACGCGAGAGTAGAGAGAGAGCCCTGTGCAGAAGCCCTTACATGCTTCGCGGGAATACCTTCAGAGAGCTCGCAAGCTCTCACCGTTACCTCGTCCTAGGTCGATATTTCGTTATCGGAAAGCAGTAGCCGTCCTGAGAAAACGATATTGAGGATATCGGGATAAATTACAAAACGGCAGCACTGAAAAGCGTTACGATGTTCACGACCTTGTTCAATGGCATCGTCGCGCGGCTCTCGCGCATCTTGAATACCTCATGAGACTGCGCTGCGCGAGGACGCGAATCGTGGCTGCTTACAGGATCGCTGTCGTTTAAATGTAAATCGAGCCTGAAATGAAAAAAAAAATGCACGAGGCCGAAATATGAAAAATTCTACCTCTAATCGAGCAAAAGCAATGTTTTCGATTAGATGGAGAGGGTGCGTCGCTTCGGAGAAGAATCAATCGGCAAATTGTAAAATTTAACTTTCCGAACCGCGACGGCACACCGCGCATCGATCCGTTTGCAATCGCTACCCGATGCGAAATTATAATTGTAATTAGAGGACCGTTCCCCGACAGATTTGATCCTAATGCAAATTTAACTGCGGCCCGACCATTCACAATTAAAATACATCGTCTCGCTATAGCATGATTTAATCGAGACTCCCGGAAAGTTGCGCGCGCGAGAGAGAGAGAGGGGGGGAGGGGTGATGGAAGCAAGCCGAGGGTAAAAAAGGCTATAGGATTTGAGAAGCGGGAGGCAAAGTTAAATCCGCGTCGCCTAAACGGCCTTTCGCGATATCTCGCTGGAAAGACAGTGTCTCGGCGGGGCAATAAAGACCGGCTTTTTGTTTTCCTGTCTTTCACGATGAAGAGAGAGTCTATCCCACGTGTAATCCCCGATTCCGCCGCACGTATAAAACGTGGAAGGTCGAGGTGAGAGGCCTCGGCGTAAAGACAACAACGAAATGGAACAAAGTCGTAAGAAAAACAATAGGACGATTGAAAAATTTGCAAGCGGGGATTGATAAGGAACTTTGCATAATACGAGCGGCCTGATGGATTTTGCCGGTTAGGGCGCGATGTAAAAAAAATATCCGCGCTTCCCGTAGCAAAAGCAAAAGTTGGCGCAACGCGGTTGACTGGACGGATTTATAGTTTACGTTAAAGCATATATCTTCCTTTCTCTCAACGCGTATTATTGTTTGCCATTAATGAGCAGATAGCGACAGATCAATCAAAAATCTGACATCATCAGAAGCGCAGCCGAAGATTCAAGGATAATGCGAGTAATCGCGAGTTTCAATTATTCCATTGCGCGGAGTGGGGAGCTGTGGAATTACAGCGGAACGGAACTCTCCCCGTTTTATTTGGACCCTCACGGAGAGTCATGGAGAGTCCTTTACGACGATCGTTCAATATGCACAAGCATTGTTCCACGTAAATTCCAGAAGTCGTCGTTTCTCGAAGAAGAGACCTTAAAAAGAAGCGATCTCTCTCTTGGCGCGACGCGCGCAATGAACGTTTTTATTGAAGAAGCGGAAGCGAACGCGAGCGTGCATTTCCTGGAGGAGGAGAAGAGATATTGAGAGAGAGAGAGAGAGAGAGGAAGAGGAAGAGGAAGAGGAAGAGGAAGAACACATATGTGTGCGCGTGTGACTGCGTGTGTTGTAAAAAAGGCGGGAAGAAACGCGAAGCGACAACGAATGGATCGCCGTCGGATAAGCAATTCTATTCGCGCCGCTCTCGCGATACAAGGCGCAACGCGAAATTCCCCCGCCGAAATGGCCAATCCTTAAGTGGGGAAGGACGAGGGATCAGGGAGAATATCGACGAGATATGGCTTGCCGCGCGCGACCACGAGGGTTCAACTTGGATGGCGGATTTCCATGATGAAGCAGCCCGCAAACTCGAAGAGTTTGACGAAGAGCCGCGCAGAAACGATCTCGGCCGCGATCGCACGGGGAGTCGCGGCAGATGGAGGCTCCAAGAGACATCGTGCATTCGCGCGGCATCGCGAGAGCGTCGATCTCTTCCTCTGCGGACCTGCGCGTTTCCGGGAAATGGACGAGGCTGACTTCCGGAAACGACAAGTGCGGCAGGAACGGCCAAGTCGCCAGGTAAGGAATCGATCGACGGTCGCGCGATACCGCGACCGATACTCCGATTCCGAGTGCTTTGTCCAGGATCCTGCTGTCGCAGAGCCGCACAGGTGCCGTTAGTCAAGGTGGCGAGTCCTCATCATTCGCTCCGAGAGACGTCCTTCGACACCGCGTAACGGCGTGAGAGGCGTGCGTTCTACCAGCTCGCTCTTCCGGCTTAGTTCTTCGACGAGAGAGCGAGAGAGTACCTCTCTCGTGCGCGGTCGTGCCATCTTCGTTGCACGTATGGATGGATATTATACAGCAAATGCGTTTAATTAACAATTACGGCAAGTACGTTCAATTAAAGAATAATACCGTTGTGTTATTAGGGAGGAGAGTGACTACGCGGAGAGAGGTATTTCGTTGAGTGAACTAATTTTCCGATGAAATCTGAACGGATCCGGAAATTGTCCGATTGAAAACACCAGAATTCCGTTGAAATCAACCGAGAAATCTTGACGATTTTGACTGAATTCCGGTAAACTTCAGTCGGTATTTCTGCATCATTAGTATCTCACCAGAAAACTGTTTCATTAAACCAAACATTTTTCTTTGTATATAACCTCTAGAGAAAGAGAGAAGGGGAGATAATTGCGCCTCTATATATCGTCAACACCCGCCGTGATATTTACTATCCGCGCAAGCGACCGTCACTGGACGCGAAGGACGCAGGGTCAAAGACGCGCACGAGAGAGTCCAGTTCGCTATTTTCGTTTATTCGCAGTCGCGCACGTCTCGCCGTGGGTCGAGTGAGAAAACGAGACAGAAATGAAGCCGAGTCCTCTCACACGACCGTTCTCCCTTTGCCCCATGCGAACGCACTGCATCCCCGTTTCCTGTTGTCGGGCTTTTTTTTCCCTTTTTTGCCGCGGGCATTTGAGACACGCGGCGGAGCTGTCGAGCACCTGAAGAAGCTCGCGTCGGCTCGGGACAATTTTCCCGGGACGGTCGAGGAGAAAGGAGTAACGAACCGCCTTGACCCCGTTGCACTTTTTTCCCCCTTTTCGGCAACACGTCACGCTTCCTCTTCTCTCTCTCTCTCGGCTCGCAGGCGCCTAGGAGCGAGCGAGAGGAAAAGAGAGAGGAGACATGCTTGCCGTCGTTCCTCCGTCTTCCCCATCTCGCGAAAACTCCGGTCCACCTACCGGAGGACAACGACCCGGCGAACTCGGCGGTGCATTAAACAGGAGATTTATTTTCGTTTCACCGAGAGAGAGAGAGAGAGAGAGAGAGAGAGAGACGTCGTTATCGTGCGCGCGCGACGTCGTTTGAGAAAATTTCATTACGCCACCGAGCGATACGACGACGACAGCGGATCGAAGTATCGTTGAATTTTTCTCCCACTCTCCGCGCGAGTCCTTCTTTATTTTTCTTTCCTGTTTTTATATCATGTACAAACACCACGCGTAACACGCAGCGCAGCAACGCGCCGGCAGAAGAGGTCCGGATAAGATTTTCCTAGCTGCGAGTATCGATTTCCGTTATGCGCGTTACAACTCGTTGAAGTCGCGCCCGTTGCGCCACTTTACATAGTTATAAAGCACGTTCCATTCCTTGCCATTCCCCGCCATCGGCTCGATATTCTGTTTTTTCTTCCTTTTTTTCCGAACTTTCGCGCGCGACCTCGCGATTCTTCCCCTCTTTCTCTCTCTTTCGATCTCTCTCTCTCTCTCTCTCTCTCTCTCTCTCTCTCTCTCTCTCTCTCTCTCTCGTTCTCTTCTTTCATCCGTCGCGATAGAATCTCGGCAGAGCAATCGGGCGCTTTTCGAGAATTCGATTATCAGTGCGCGAAGGGTGCAAGCGGAAGGCCTCTCGTCGCCTCTTCAATTTCCAACGGGTTCTACCTTGGGCCGATCGTTTTGCCGACGAGCCCACTCTATCCAAATGAGAGGCATCGAGACACGAAATAGTTCTCACACTACGAAAGCTCCCATCCTTTTTATTTGTTCCTTGTGTGCGCGGTCAGCGCTGTCTCGCTCATTATAAGCGCGTGTTCACACGCTTACGTAATAATCCGGCCGGATCGATAAAAAATACAGCGCGGCCGAGCGGAGAATTAATCGTCGTCGCGACGTCGAGCGTGACGACAGAGCGCGGAATTCTGTTTATGATAATCCACGTCGTTCGACGCATTCGCGCGAGCACGTGCCCAATTGTTAAACGAATTTCAATGTCTGCAGCTTCGGGAACTGCGCTCTCTCGCAGCTTCGATAGCGTCGCCGCGTAACCGTAACACGTCATTAACGTGGAGGCTCGTTTACCTAATCGTCAGGCGCAGCGCGCGTCCCGCCAAATATTTTCGCCCGCTACTCCCAATCAGGTTAATAGCGTTTCCTCGCGGATGACGTTCTCTACGTGCTTCTGCGCGAAAACCCGTCCGCCTCGCGCCTAACCGTACAGGCGTGGTCAATCTCGTTACCGTTACCAATTGTTTTCAGCTCACTTTCAGCCCACCTGAGCAACGTGAGCGCGCTTCTGCCCCTTCGTCCCGCCGTTGTCGATTTCGCGATTCCCCGTGTAGGATAACCGTGCAGGACGCAGGGATAACGGGGAAGGCAGATATCCACGGCAAGTTTGTATCCCGACGTGAACGCGCTCTCCGTTAACCATTCTGGAGATACCACGGCCGAGTAAAGGGAGAAGGGAGAAAGAGAATGAGAGAAAAGAGGGGCGAGAAGGGAGGAGATGCTGCTGAGCGCGATCGTGTTCTCCTTTTCTTCGTCGGCTCGCGCAAATAGTCTCACGGTGCAAATATTTTGCGAAATCCCGCAATGATGATGCGCGCCGTCCCGGCATGCGCATCGATAATTCACGTCACCGTCGCCGCTTTTCAAGCGCGGCTACGTATTGTTTTTTTTTTACGAACCGCGAACTGCAAACCACCGCGGACGGAGTTTGCGGAACGGATTTCGCGTGGCACGTGCCGTTGACGCGTCTCTGATAGAAACACTTTTCGCCCATTGAAAGCGAATAAAAGCCTCGTAAGCTGCAACTGTCGTTTATATGCGCCGCGCCGATAAATTCGAGCGTGTCGCTTCCTTTTGTTCGGCCGCTGCCGCACGCGCGGCGGTTTGTTCATGTCGAAATAACGACGCGGTTGCGTAAACGCCCGGCTGTTTACCCGCGCGTCCGGTTTCTTCCCTCCCCCGCGGCGAGACGACACGAGCTGTCGCGCGTGCGAGAGTCCCTTGATCGCCTATTCTGCGACAAACTCGGCCCTCCGAACAAAATCGACCCTTGAACTTCGGGCGCCGACAGGTCGTCTCAAAGAGACAACGGTTATCTCATTGATAACGCCGATATCCGCGTCGCACCCGACCCGCCTGTCGTCTGCTGGGTATTTCTATCGCGCCTCTGCGCGGATAACTACTCTGAAATGCTTTTTCCTTTGCTGCGAAAGGAAATCGATCTTCTTCGCGGAATCGACCCGCGATTTTCTTTGTATCGGACAATTAACGTCTTTCCTCTCCGCGTATATTCCGCAAACTTTCGAGCGAGTCAACCTAACGAAGCAGAATCTCTCTCTCTCTCTCTCTCTCTCTCTCTCTCTCTCCTGTCCGCAATTGTTCAAAAATTGCTCATTTGTAGGAGACACTTCGAGAGTGTTTTATCCTCGAGTTTTACATCGGCTGAATTGCGTAAATCGTTGCGTAACGCTCGAGCCTCGAAATGAGAATCGCAAAGTCGAGAATCGATGGGGACGATGAATAGCGTCGCGGTTATCTTTCAGGAACATTCCTAGCGCGCTCAGACACATCTAGTTTCGATTATGCCACGTAACCTTCGTGATTGCGACGCTCCAGCTGCCAGCGGCAGCACGGGCTTGCGGACGAAGCTTGCAATAAAGGGCCGGCTGCGTCATTCGAGCAATCCGCAACAATTCCGCCGGCTGTCCATGCGTTTTCCGATTTTAAGGACTTCTCCGGCTGCTCTGCGCTCTTGTTATCCCCTTTAATCGCGCTTCTCATATCGACATTCGCGACTTCCTTTCGCCGGCGACACACAATACCCCGCTTGAGCTTGCAGCGAGGCCGAATTCATTCGCGCCGAGTTTAAGCGCGCGTTAAAACACTCGCGCTGCATAATGAAACTGCGACTCTGATAATTCGCATCTTCGTTGACACGAATCCCGCCGCGGAAGCGCGGTGAAACGATCGAGATAAGAATTACGGTCGCGCAGCGACGTCTGCGTGCTTCAACTTCGACATCGTAAAACGACGTCTTACTAAGATTCGTCTGGAAACGGCGCGTCGCCACGGCTGCTCCTCGTAAACTCAGTTTCGTCATTCGCGAAATTATGTGCGCCCGAAATTCGGCGACAATCTCGCTTCTTCGCAGGATTTACGTTTCACTGAGCGAAGGGCTCGCTTCTACTTCATCAGGCTCGGCTCCGCTCCGCTCTCGGCTTGATCGCTCGAACGGAGATCGCGATGAGAGCGCGACGGTTAATGCGGTCTTTCGCCCACGTAAGCGAAAGACAATCGTTTCATGACGCTTCGAAATGACGCTCATCACGCGACGACAGATGCCCTCTCCTCCCTCCGTCCCTCTTTTCTTTTCCCCTCTCACTTCCTGTGGTGCCTGAAAATTGCATACGAGAGCCGAGAGACGCGTTCACCACGCGGTTACGATCAATACGACGGAGGAAAAGCTCGCAGATGAACGTACAGGAGCAGGACAGACGGTATTAAACGCACTCGTTTATAATAGTGCGGACGCGCTATCTCGTCGACGAAGTTTGGGACACGTCGAGGTAGTTTACGGTAGTACGTTCGACGACACCTGCGAGAGACTGATATCTTATGCGAGGACTTTACGGCGGACTTACGCGTACTTATAGGAAGACGCACTACTAAGAGAGACGCCTGCGATCTTCCCTCGTTGTGTCGCACAATTTTGCTTATTATTTACCGTAAATTACGCCGGGGCGAAAGAAAAGGAGACGGTACGAAAGAGCGAGAGAAAGAGAGAGAGAG